TGCCTAGTGACTGATAGCTGACATTGACCACGTAGGATAATTTCTTAGGACTGAGGTAGCTTGACTGCTTTAGATAATCTGGCCTTGTCCTGCTTGATTACACATATGCTCAATTTCCAACTTCAGGGACTTTCAACAGCAAAATATTTTAACTCCATGGATTTCCATTTCTTTTTGGTTTTGTTGCCTGTGTTTTAACAGTTAAATCCAAAATTTTGCGAAGACCAATGTCATTATTATAGTTTGTGTATAGATGTCCCCCCAAAAGCTCATGAACTCTTGGGGATACTGTTTTACATTTTGTGACTGATTCATGATCTAGTGCTGATATTAAGGGTGTGAGTGCTATACCCACCCTTCGGTGGGTAGCCTGCATAGAATAAAAGGGACTGAGTTTTGTATCTCCTCTTGTTTTTGCTATCTTCCATTGCCATTAATTGTTGCCCTCTGCTGTGTGCTGCTCTGCCTTAGAGCTAGCCATTAGTGGACTAAAACTTAAACAGAATGAACTAAACAACCTTCCCACCCTTTAATTCTGGTTGTTGGGTATTTTGTCTCAACAACAAGAGAAAAGCAACTAAGATAGTCATGAAGCTGTTTTCTTCTAATAGTATTATAGTTTGGGATGTTAGGTTGAAATTTTAGTCCATTTTGGATTCCTTTTTGTTTCCTTAATCGTACTGAGGATTGAACTCAAGACATTCACACAGAGCTATATCCGTACCCCTCCCTGACTCCCTTTTAATATTTTATTTTGAGACAGGGTCTTGATAAGGATGAAATTATACTTGGAGGCCTCCTGCCTCAGCCTCCCAGAGGACTGATTGTTATATACATAATGTAAGATAAGAGTCCAAATTTCTTCTTTCAGATGTGAGTGTTCAGTTTTCCCATCACCATTTAAAAAGACTGTACTTTCCTCCTTGTGTGTTCGTGGCATCTTTGTTGAATTTAGTTGCATATAAATGTACTTTGATTTCTGGGTCTGTGGTTTGTTGTATTGGTTTATCCATCTGATTTTGTGCCTATACCATACTGTTTTACTATGAGAGCCTCGGATAGATTTTGAGATGAGTAGTATGACGCCTCCTGTTTTGTACTTATTGCTGAAGGTGATTTTGACTGTTGGATGTTTTTTTGCGACCATGTGTATTTTAGGATTGTTAAACTGTTTATATGGAAAAATACCACTGAAATTTTAGTCCTTGTGCTAAATTTTTAGATCATATGTATGAAATAGGGTCGTTTTAGTGATGCTGATTTCTTCTGGTTCTTGAACATGAAGTACCTTTTCTTTTTGAGCGTTTGTTTTTGGTCCTTTTTTTCTTTTCTTTTTCTTCTTTCTTTTTTGTTTTGTATTTTAGGAAAGGGTCTACAGGGTGTTCCGGGTCTCACTACTAGATCGAACTCATAGTGAACTGCCTGTTTACAGCCTCTCGAGAGCTGAGATTACAGGCGGGGCCAGCACGGCAGGCAAACCTAGGGATCAAACCCCTGGCTCCTGCACCTGCTTGCAGGCTCTTTAATCTGCTGAGCTATTTGGCTGGACCTGGTTTTGGTCTTTCATGTTTTGAAATTTTCATTTTAATCTTTTTATCTCTTTGATTAAATTTGCTTGCTTTTATAACATTGTAAATGAGATTCTTTTCTTGATTTATCACATTATTTGTTAATAATATGTAGAAATACTGTTGATTTTTCTGTCCCACAATTTTACTGTATTCTGTAAACTAACAATTTTTTGGTTGACTCTTTAGTGTTTTGTATAAGTAAGAGTATGCCATCTGCAAACAGTAACAGTTTAACTTTGTTCTTCGTATGATGACTTTTTTCCCTTCTTTCTCAATTCCTCAGGCTAGGACTTGCTGTACTTTGTTGACTAGAGATACTGAGAGCATTCTTTTCTTGTCTGTGATCTTACATCCAAAGTTTTCATCTTTTTCACCACTGTGTTTTAGTAGCTGTGACATTGTTACATATTGTCTTGTGTTGGGGTATATTCCTTCATTAATTTATTCAAAATTTTTATCATGATAGAATACTGAGTTTTTATTAAAGTACTTTCTGTATCAAGATGGTCACAAAGCTTTTTTGTTTTCTTAATGATGTGTCACATTTATAGATTGTCATAAGTGACTAATCTACAGCTCAGTGACAGATCTCAGTTGATCATAGTGAGTGATCTTGAATCATTGAATTCAGTGGTTCAGTTTGCTGGTATTGTATTGAAAATTTTTGTATCTATGTCCATGAAGGACTTTTTTTTTTTAATATTTATTTATTTTTATTTATTACATTTATTTATTGTGTGTGTGTGTGGCCAGCTCAGCCCACCAGGGGGCGGGTCTGGCTGGCATGTGGTGCTGGGGATCGAACCGCGGTCCCTGTGCTTTGCCAAGCTTGTTTCAAGTAGGTGCTTTAGACCACTGAGCCATCTCTCCAGCCCCCATGAAGGACTTTGACTATAATTTTCTTTAGTCATTTTCTGCCTTTTGTATCTGGGTAGAGATCAATTTGCAGGTGAAATATACAGTGTTTCCCGAGGCTCCTGCATTGAGGGCTTAGTCCCCAGAGCAGCAGTATTTGGAGGTAAGGCTTAGAGAACTGTTTGGACCTTGATGGTTTTAAGGTCATTAGTCCATTCATTGATGAGTTCATCAGCTGAATAGGTTATTAGGAAGTGTGGCCCAGAGAAAGGGCTCCCTGCAGGTGTATCTTTAAAGTGTGTGTATTTGTTCTCTGGTTCTTGCTCTCTGCATCTAGGAAGTGAGCAGCTCAAGACAGTGTTTCTGCTTTGGATCTAACCCATGGTTAGGAGAGAAATCCCTAAAATCCTGAACCACATAAGCCTTTTAAGTTTTGTGAGTAGTTGTTTTGTCCTGGTGACTGAAAGTTCACTATATAGAAATGTTCCTTTTGAAGTGTGTGGATTATTAGTGTGTGCATTAGCGAAGGGCTGGTATTCTTTAAATCCTGAGAAAAATGCAATTATAAAACTGTTAGGTCATTAATTGTACTTGATGTGAAGTTTTTGTTACTTGATTCAGTTTCCTTAGCTATAATTAGTCTTGTTAAATTTTCTTTTACTTTGTTATTCAGTTTTTAAGAGGTTTTATGCTTCTAAGAATTTATATCTTCTACATTATCTAGTTCTTCACAGTCATAGGAACTCAGAATTCTTTGTATTGCTATGCTAACAGTTACAATGTCTTTACTTTTTTGATTTTGAGTCTTTTTCTCAGGTTAGCTAAAGGTTTCTCAACTTCATCTATTTAAAAAATGATTTAGTTTTGTTGATTCTGTTTTCATTGTCTGTATTTCATTTTTGCTCTGATCATTAGAGTGTAACATTAGGCTCTTTGTTTGAAATCACTGCTTTTATAATATAGATAAATAATGCTGAAAACTTGCTTCTGCTTTTGCTGCATCCCATAAGTTCTAGCCCACTGATGCCTCATTACTCATTATTAATTGGTCTAGGAGTACCAATAAACAATGAGTAGCAAATTGTTTTGCCAGGGACTGACAAATTCTAGCCTGCCTAGTACTACTAGGACAAAATTTTTTGGTCAGAATGCAAGTATCAAATTCAACTTTCAAAGCAGCTGAGTGAAAAGGTATGACTAAAAATACTGTTTCATATTCATTTGTCAAGGTAATATTTTCTTTTGATTTTTCTTTTTTTGCTCATTCAGGAGCATATTATTTAATTACTACATATTTAATTTTCTAAATTACTAATATCTAGTTTTGTGCAATTATGTTAAAAAGGATTTTGATAAGATTTCAGTCTTAAATTTGTGAAGACTTATATTGTACTTTGACGTATTCATACTGGTGAACAGTTTGTACATGAGAGAACTCTATTCTTTTCTTTGGATTGAATGGTCTGAATATTTTTTTTGGTCCATTTGTGTTACAAGTGTAATTCAATACAAATATTTCCTTATATATATTTTTTTCCTGTGGTTCTGTTTATTGAAGATGGAGTATTGGCTTTTCCTTATTTAAAGTTTTTATTTTTTTTAATTTTTTATTTATTTATTTGAGAGAGAGAGAGAGAGAGAGAGAGAGAGAGAGAGACAGACAGACAGACAGACAGACAGACCAGCTCAGCCCACCAGGGGGCAGGGCTGGCTGGCATGTGGTGCTGGGGGATTGAACCGCGGTCCCTGATGCTTTTGCTAAGCTTGTTCTAAGTAGGTGCTTTAGACCACTGAGCCATCTCTCCAGCCCCGGCTTTTCCTTATTATATTGGTGTCTCTTCTTTCAGAACTTCTTGTATTTATATATTTAAGTTCTTCAATATTGGACACATATGCAGTGGACCCTTGAATTATGAACTCAGTTCTTTTGCAAGGGCTGGTTGTAACTCAGACTGGTTGTAAGTCCAGACTTTTCCCCATAAGAAATAACGGAAATAGCCATTAAGCATTTTGCTCTTCCCAAAGCATCCCTTAATTGACCTTTTCATAATGAAAAAGGGTTATATAACAGCATACTTTGTGAGAAACACCAATAATTTTCCTACCATATTCACCAAGAAGTTGTAAAATGTGCCTAGTTTACCAGAAAAAACAATTTCAACTCATCATTCAAATTGACAGCTTTGGCTTGCAGGAAGGGAGAATGAAATGGAAAGAGTCCCCTTCCATAAGAACATCAGGAATCTGGCTCTGTGGTATCCTTTCTCTCCTTGGCATCTGTACGCTACTAAGTCCTGCTTCTGGATCAGCTATTGGTCTCAACATTTTCAGAACTAAAAACTGGTCTTAAGTTTGTCTGCTGTTTGTCTTTTCTTTAACACTGTTCTATAGTGTTAAGACATAAGATCACTGTTCTTAGGACAGGACATTGTCATTAAGCAAGTGAACACAATCGTTAGCTTTTTCTCTGTTTTGGTGCATCTTCTCTACAGGTGTTTGTAGCTCTCCATTTTTCAGGGTTTCCTTTGTTTCTGAAGAACTGTACTGATGGTTGATTCTCTCTCTCCTCTTCAGAAAACTCCTCAGCTGCTATTCTCTGTTGCTATTCTCTGTTGCTCAGCCAGAAGTTGTTGAAGCTGCTCTGTGTGCAATTCCTCTGCATATTTCTCTACCAGTTCTCAACATCACCCGTCTACCTGAAAGCCCAGTGTCTCAGTTATAGTGACAGGGTCATCAGCTACATGGTCAGTTGAAGCGCAAGCTCTCGTACACAGCCTTAAAGTTGTCCTTACTATCTAGGCCGCACTTTGTTCCAGGCACATCTCAGTGTACTTAGACAGATATTGGCCTAAGATTTCTCATCCCCATACAGGAAAAAATTTTTCTTGCAGACCTCCTCACAGGTTAAATACATATCCAAGACAGTGTGGAAGCCCTTCAAGAAATTTCTTGTTTTATAGCATCTTACAGTTAGCTGTCACCTGCTGGACTAGAGGCTGCAACAGAGGAGTTGTATTAGGTGGAAAGAACTTGACAGCAATGGGAATTCAACAGCCAGTTCCTCTTCAAAGTCTCTTGGGTAAGCAGTAGCATTGTCCATCATGAGGAGAGCCTTGAGTGGTATGCCTTTGCCCTCTGGATACTGTTTCTTAACAATAGTACTGAGAGCCTCCCTGATCCACTCAAGAGTAAGTACTCTTGTTACCCAGGCTTTTGCCTTACATCACCACATGACCCCAAGCCTATTCATTATGACTTTGTCTTTTTTACCACTCTAGGGATCTCAGAGTGATAAACCAAGAGAGGCTCTATCTTGAGGTCGCCACTTGCTTTGGCACACAGCAGTAAGCTTAGCCTATGTGTCATAGACTTGTGATACGGTGTTTTCCCCTTCCCTGGATAATGTATGTTCTGAACGTTGTCTTCAAGAATAAACCAGGTTTTTTGTGGGGTTGTTTTGGTGGAAACGGGGATTGAACTCAGGCCCTTGCATTTACCAGGCAAGCACTTATTCTACTGAGCTATCTCCCCAACCCAAGAATAAACCAGTTTCATCACAGTTGAAAACTTGATGAGAGCACAAGCCATTTCTCTGTGTCATCATTTCAAAGTTGTATAATGTAGTTTATAGCAGACCTTCGTTTATCAGTCAGTACTGGCTGCTTCACCATGCCTAGTTACACTATGAGCCCAAGTACTCACTTTAAAATAACAAAACTATCACTCATTGATAAGATTATCCTTTATTAGATCTTCATTTATAGCCCTGGTTTTTTCACCAATAGACTGTAACCTGACATCTCATCTGCCCTTCATTTATCCACACTAGTAATAGCCTTTCAGCTTCATCTAATGCTGCTTATCGTGACTAATTTGAGTAACATTTTTAACAGCAGTAGCTTCCTTATGACAAATACGAATCTTTTCTCTGTAAGATTGTTGGAGTGATGGATTTTGATAAGCTGTCCATATTAGGGAGATTGGTCACATGAATGCCATTCATAATTCTGTAGCTCCTTTCTTCTTTTTTTCAATTTATGTATTTGGTACAGGGTCTTACTACATAGCTTTGTCTCAGCTTCCCCAGCACTAGGATTATAGGCATACACCACCACACCTGGTTTCATTGGCCAGCTCATCTCAGAACTGACACAGTGTGTGGTACTGGGGTTTGAACCCCTGTCCTTGCACTTGCCAGGCAGGCACTTAGTAGAACTCTCTCCCCGGCCCTTTTGTTTTCTATTTTGATTGCTTTCCCTCCCCTCATCTCATCTCTTCTCCCTTCCCCTTTTTCTAGCCTTTTAGGGTTTTGTTTTGTTTTTTTTTTCCACCAGGGAGCAAACTTAGTACCTTGTGCTTGCCAGGCAGGTGCTTATGCCCCTGAAGTGTATCTCTGGCTCCCTGGCCCTGTTGGGACTATTTTATTATTATTATTATTATTATTTATTTTTTTGGCGGAACCGGGGATTGAACTCAGGCCCTTGCACTTGCCAGGGAAGCGCTTATTCCACTGAGCCATCTCCCTGGCCCTGGGACAATTTTGATAGCAGTAATCATAGCAATTGTGTACAGCACTGACAAAAATCTTGGCTCAGACTGATGCTTATATAATGTGTTTCTGACGTGAGTCTTTGTTTACAGCCACGCCAGAAGCTGGCATCAGGACCTAACTCAAGACATAGATCATAAGTTAAACCTAAAATTCCAGTAGTAACCCAAGGTGTTTGTGAGCCCAGTTATAACTCAAGGGTCCATTATATTGTTACATCCTCTTGTGAAGTTAATTTATCAGTGTATAGGAACTTTTTTGACCCTCTGTGCAGTTGTTTTAAAGTCCCTGCTTGATTTTCATTTCATTTCATATGAAATATCTTTATCTTTTTATTCACTTTAATGTATGTGTGTCATTAAAGATTGAATGAGTTATGGACAATACATTGTTGGGCCTTACTATTTTTATTCATTTAGCCTATCTGTTTGATAGAATTTATTTACACTCATTGGTAATGATTGTTACACAAGAATTTAGTTACTGCTTTATTACAGGATGATCATTTGTAATCCAGTATCTGAAATGTCTTAACAATCAAAAGTTCTTAAAAAAAGTTTTTCTTTGTAGGCTTAATTTGCTATACTGGAGAATTCAACCTAGGGCCAGCCTTGCGTTGAGCTGTGTCCCCATTCCTTATTTTTGAGAAAAGGCCTAAGTTGCCCAAGTTAACCTCAAACTTGCAGTCCTCCTGCCTTACACACTCAAATAGCTGAATTGCAGGCATTGAAATTCAAAACATTTTGAACTCACAGATATGATACCTAAGCTTCAGCATCTGCTAACATTACGGCTTTTGGATTTTCAGATTAGAGATTCTGTCCTTGAATTTTTCTATATTTTCACGGTTTTCAAGGTCTGCTTAAAAAAATGTATTACCTTAAAATACTTTCTCTTGCTTTGAACAGTTATCTTTTTGGAGTAATTCTTAGAAGGCATCTTTTGTAGGTATCATTAGCTGTGTGGATGTGGCTGTCTTGGTCACAAATTGATTGATAATTTTTACCTTTTGTAGACATTTTAACATTGAGATGGAGCCAGAAGTTGCAAAGTGAAGTCAGTTGAATGAAGTGAAATGTTTTAAAAAGCCTGTCATTTCCTTGCATGGCTCTCAGCAGCTGCATTCCCTGCATGCCTCGTAAAGACAGTCACCAAAAAAGAAAGACTTCCCATGCTGCTCCAAAAAGTGGCAAAAACTGGGATAAATGTTTAAAGTGAGGAGCAATATTTTTAAGGAGCATTGATGACAGTGTACCTTTTACTGTAATAATTTTTAAAATTTAATAATCTATGATATTTTTTATTCAGTCTTATAGTTAGTATCTTTTATTTCAATGTGAAAATGTTCTGTTGGCACTGCTTTTAAAAAACTGAGTCAGTCTAGTGCTGGTGAATTCCTCCATTCTTGTTTGCTTGGGGATGTGTTTTCTATATTGTATCAGTCAGGGTTTTACTAGAGGAACAGATATGTTACAAGGAACAGATACAACACAAGATATACAAATTACAAGAAATTACAAAATCGGCTTACAATGATCAGCCACAGACAGATGAGGAGGCATGCAGAGGGCGTCTCTGTACCGGAGACTGAAGGATTCAGTCCAAGGTCTGGAGCTTACTGTAGTGTCCCTGCAAATCTGTATCAGTTGGCCTATGGGTCTGTGATGGAAAGGTGGCAAGCTGATAAATCTATCACGGAAAGCTGATAGATCCAAGGCAGAGGCCAAAGAGCCTGCGCTGGAATCTAGGAGATGATGTTCAAGACTGCAGTTCCTAGGAATCCATCCTCAATCCTTTATATGTCCTCTAAGTACTGATTCACTCTAGTGCAGGTCCCCTGGGGTGTGGAATGGCAAAGGTGATCCAACCAAGTTAACACAGTATATCAACCACTACATATGTCTTTTCAGTAGTTAACTCTCTGGTTGGCTCATTCTTCTGTGTAACAAAAACACAGTACTGAATTCTTTAGTACTATTGCAATGTTCTTCAATTCTGGAATTAATGTTTGATTCTTAGGTTTTCAGCTTCTTATTTAAACATTTGTTTTGCTTATATATTGTTTTCCTAGTTTCATTGAGTTGTCTGTGTTTTTCTTTCACCTCTATGGACTTTTCCTTATTAGTTTCTTATGATTTCATTTTTTGTTAATTTTTTAATTGGTAGACATTAATCTTAGGATCTTGAGCGGTTCATGCATTGGGTGCTTGGGCTATACAGATGACTTTTTTGTTTATTTTAATGTGTTTGGAACAGGGTCTTACTACACAGATCAGACTCACAGTGATCCTTTTGTTCTCAGCCTCCCTAGGGTTGGGATTACAGGGGCCGGGGAGATGGCTCAGTGGAATAAGCGCTTCCCTGACAAGCGCGAGGACCTGAGTTCAATCCCCGGTTCCACCAAAAAGCAAAACAAAACCTAGGGTTGGGATTACAGGCATGCACCTCCACTACTGGACTCATGTCAGGCTCAGCACACCCAAGGGTGGGGCAGGTGGTACTGGAGATCGAACCCTGGTCCCTGCTCTTGTCTGAGCAGGCGCTTAGTCTGCTGAGCTTTAAAAGCCCTACAGATGACTTTTAAAATCATTTTAGACAACATGAAGATCCCATTTCTTTGGGGTCAGTACTTGGCACGTCATTTCCTTTGATGTGTCATACTTGTCTGATTCTTTTTTTTTCTTTATATCCTTCTATTCCTGTTTGTGTGTTTGGAGGACCAGGCATTTCTAGTTTTGACAGACTGGTTTTGGCAGGTTAAAATCTTTCCTTTTGGAAATCTCATACAGCTAGGATTTCTCCAAGATCATTGTTGTATTTAGAGCAAAATCATGTGCTTTCCACTGTGGCTATGGTGGAATTACTCTTTTTT